TTTCAATCAATCAGAATAGACCGGGAAGGGACCTCAGAGGTCATCTAGTCCAGCCCCCTGCTCGAGTAGGAGACCCTTACAGAATCGTAGAATAAAAGTTGGAAGGGACCTCGGAGGTCATCTAGTCCAGCCCCCTGCTCAAGCCGGAGACCCTAGACCATTTCAATCAATCAATCAGAATAGAGTTGGAAGGGACCTCGGAGGTCATCTAGTCCAACCCCTTGCTCTCTCGAGCAGGAGACCCTTACAGAATCGTAGAATAAGAGCTGGAAGGGATCTCGGAGGTCATCTAGTCCAGCCCCCTGCTCAAGCCGGGGACCCTAGACCATTTCAATCAATCAATCAATCGGAATAGAGCTGGAAGGGACCTCGGAGGGCATCTAGTCCAACCCCTTGGTGCTCAAGCAGGAGACCCTTACAGAATCGTAGAAGAGCTGGAAGGGACCTCGGAGGTCATCTAGTCCAGCCCCCTGCTCGAGCCGGAGACCCTAGACCATTTCAATCAATCAATCAATCAATCAGAACAGAGTTGGAAGGTACCTCGGAGGGCATCTAGTCCAACCCCCTGTTCAAGCCGGAGACCCCTAGACCATTTCAATCAATCAATCAGAATAGAGCTGGAAGGGACCTCGGAGGTCATCTAGTCCAACCCCTTGCTGCTCGAGCAGGGGGACCCTTACAGAATCGTAGAATAAGAGCTGGAAGGGACCTCGGAGGTCATCCAGTCCAACCCCCTACTCGAACAGGAGAACCTCTCCAGTTTCAGGCGACGGTCCGTCCTCCGCTCCTCTCCCTCCTTGCCTTTCCCGAGATCCCGGAGGAAGAGGAGAGGACCGCCTTGGCTGGGGGGAGGGGCGCTACCCCCGACCCCGACCCCCAGGCACAGCCACGCACAGCGGAGGAGCAGCAGCAGCGTCTTTATTACACACCCGGGCAATCTACAAAAGAGCCACGAGCTGCCCGGATCTCTTCGCGGGCGAGAGAAAGGCGGGGGGGGGAGGAGAGGAAAAAGGGGTGAGGAGGGGGGGCCGAGGAGGGGCTTCTCCGGCCCTGCGGGACGGAGTCTCTGCCCCTTTGCTTTCAACCTTTTCAGGGGGCCCACGTCGGTTTGGGGGTTCGGACAGGGGGAGGTGTGGAGGCTCAAGTCACTCTAGGGTCCAGTGCCCCCCAAGTGCTCTCCAGCCAGGAAAGCAGCCGGCGGGCCGGGCCAGGGTGATAAGTTCGGCCACACCGGACCCCCGGAGCCTTAAAGCCGGCGGGGGAGGGGGCTCCCCCAGTCTCTTCGCTCCCAGGAAGCGAGCGCAACCCCGGCCTTTTTTTCTTCTTCTGCCGGATCTCCGGCACATCGCTGGATCTTTCTCCAGCCTCGCTCGCCTCCGGGAGCTTCCCGCCGGCAGGGGCGAGTCGGTTCCGATCCTCTCTCCCCGCGTCGTCCGGTGGCGGGGAGTCCCTCTGTCCCGGCGCTCCGAGCAAGTCCTGGAAGCGTCGGGCCGGGCTGAAGGGCGCTTCGCTCGGCTGGGATTCGAGGCAGCCCCTGCCCCGGGGAGGAGGGGGGGGGCGCTAGTAAAGCAGGTCCTCGAAGCGAAGCAGCACGAATTGTTCCAAGGCGGGGGGCAGGCGCAGGTGGGGCAGGGCCCGGAGGAGGCGGCCTTCCAGGCAGCCGCGGAGGGCGCACCGGGCCAGGTGTTGCAAGCTGCGCGGGCCCTGGCCCAAGGCGAAGAGGGAGCCGAAGAAGCTCGGGTGCTCCTGCAGAGAAGGGAGAAGCGGAGGCGGTGAGAACGGGGGGGGGGAGGAGGCAGCCCCGGCGGGAGAAGCCCCCCCCGTGCGGGAGAAGCCCCCCCCGTGCCGACTCACCCGCACCAAGTCTTCGGGGACCGCCTCCTGCCAGGCCTCCGTCACCGGCACTCGCGCGTAACAGTTGAGCAGGGTCTCCACCGTGCGAGGGGAAGCGCAGCAGTGGCGCAGCACCTGTGGGGGGCGGAGGTGGGGGGCACAGGAAGAGAGTGTATGTGGGGGGGGCTGTTACTGTTGAGCGCGGTCCCCGAATCCCCCCCCCGGAAGGGTCCCCACGTGAAGAGGGCGCTGAGGTCGTGGGAAAGCGCGCAAGTGACCCGTTTTAAGGCCGCAGCGTCCCGGGGCAAAGCGGAGAGGCACCGCCCGGCGTGGGGAGGGGGGGGCCGAGAACCGCTTCGCTGTCCTGGGACGTCCCCCAGCCCCGCCCTCACCCCGTCCTGCCCTCGGGACGAGCGCC